TCTGTCTGTCAGTCTCACACCACCAACATTAATCCTTACAAACACACTAAACAAACATCAATACTAAAATAACACCACAAACTAGTAATTTATATATATCTTATGCATACAGTAACTTAATAACACTTAATTACATTTTAACGTCATCTAAAATTACAGACTGAGCGGTTATGATAGCTGGTCCAAACCTGTTGTAGCCCGACCATCACACAAGGCATGCAGGTATTCCCCATTACGCCGTTGTATTGTTATTACCTTATCCACCAGCCTCATATTAATCACCGTGTAAATATTCGACAAATTCGCAAGCTTCAGTGAACGGTACAGGGCCTCTGTTACATCCTCGCATCGGGATCTGGTAAACGGTAGGACCTTGTTTTGACATGCAGGCTCTGTTACTACACGCAGGTTCTGTTAACGGTTTGATCCTGTTATACACGCAGTCTTTTATACACACGCAGCCTCTGTTCACGACTTGACCCTCTTATGCAAGCAATCTCTGTTATACACGCAGCCTCTGTTAACGGCTTGACCCTCTTATGCAAGCAATCTCTGTTATACACGCAGCCTCTGTTAACGGCTTGATCCTGATATATGCGTAGTCTCTGTTATACCTGTTGTTTCTGTTAACAGCATGTCCCTTTTACACACGTAGCCGGACTCTGTTAACATCGCAACCCTGTTATTCACGCAGCCTTTGTCGTGCCGTTCACAGACCATGTTACTCCTGTGTCAAATGAGCAATTGTGAGAACCATAAATTACCTTTTTGAGTAATGAGGGATTCTCATTTGACTTTTTTTTTTAATCAAAGAATAATGGATAAACAGAGATACGCGGGGTGACAGGTAGCTGTTGTTGATATTATTACAGGTATTGGTTTAATATCCTGATACCTGTGTACCTTATCATAACACCTGTATACTATTATTATTATTATTATTATTATTATTATTATTATTATTATTATTATTATTATTATTATTATTTAAGTCTTTCTCGCTTGTACTTCAGAAAAATATCGTCAGGCAAAGATTTTATACTGAAAAAAAGTAAAACAAAAAATATTGACTCATAAGATATTTCATGAAGAGGTCAGCATAAAATCGAGTCATCTATCACCTATGTGTCACGAATTCACCACCATAAACTCTTCCCATGTATAGTGAATGACCGTGAACACAATACCGAGCACCATAGCCATTCACGAGCTTCACCTGTGCATGATCGCTCAATGACATGTTAACAATACAGGTGATCATTATTACCTTAGGGCACAGGTGTGTGTGTGTGTGTGTGGTGCAGGTAAACTCGTGGGCAGGTAAACATATCCGTGCCATTACATTAATAAATTACTGTAGTTTTATGCTGTCACAAACACTCTTTTAACTACAAAATAATAAAATATCCCTATAATTCATCTTATATCTTTATTCAATGTAAAAACCTATAATCCTAAAGGGAAAAAAGTGTATCGATATAATATCTTAATTTTTTACTTTATATTTTATCAATTTTAATTTTATATTATTGTTTTATTTTTATTTTTTGGTTTTTATCATATTTTTGTATAATTTACGTTTATTTTAATTTCCTTTTTTGTTCGGATAATGAAATGTAATTCTCAAAACAATGTGAAAAATTACGTAGAGAATTATACGGTATAGTCCAGTCCATCTCGGGAAACAATTCGGATTTAACACTTAACAAAATATATTTCCCTAAGTACCAAAAACTCTATTAAGTCCAAAAGTCCACATCCAGTCCATTTACGATCAATCGGACTTGTTACTTTTGTTAAGGTAATTGAAAATAAGTGAAAAAAAAGGTATCATCATTTACTCAATCAAGTCCGAAAGCTCATTCATCTCGCTTCAAGTCCATCTTACGGCTAGTCACTTGTTTATTTAGGCGTGGGAATCTGCCTTGTTTTTCTCTATTTGTCTTATTTTTTAGTTTATTTTTAACTGTTTATTCCTATTTATTATCGTCTGTCTTTTAGTTCCGTTTAGTTTGGTTATAATAGTGTGTGTGTGTGTGTGTGTGTGTGTGTGTGTGTGTGTGTGTGTGTGTGTGTGTGTGTGTGTGTGTTTAACGGGAAGGAAGATTTCATGCAAGTGGATACAACAGTTGCTACGTGGATAATGCAACAACAGATTAAATCCTCGTTCTATAGATCCGATAATACAACGGTATACAACGGTGAGGTGCTATATCCAACGGGGGTACACAACGGATCCGAAACACCAACGGTACAATGGTTTAAGGAAAGGTCTCGATCCGACACAGCAACGGCACAACGGGTGAACTTCCGTTGCTAACGAACGGACTAGACCACGTGTGTTTTCCGTTGATAGTGCGTCTGGGTCCTGGATGATCGGCCGAGTGATAGGAAAGAGTATGATCGGAAAAGGGAAATCAGACAGGTTATAATCAGATGGTATGATCGGAAAAGGGAAATCAGACAGGTTATAATCAGATGGTATGATCGGAAAGGTGAAATCAAACGGGTATGATTGGAAAGTATGATCGACAAAAATACTATCCTTAAACCATCATACTCACATCATATTACTGTCATATTAGTATTATACCATTGTTATTATATTTCTACCACATCAGAATCATACTATCATCATACACTAATATCATACACTAGCATCATACTACCACATATATTCTATCATACTAACATTACACCATTATCAGTATGATAGAATGAAAGTATGATGATAGTATGAAACTACCTTGATATAAGTATGATGTCAGTATGATATCATGCTAGTATAAAGCTGCATATTGACTTCAGTATGATGTTAGTATGACTGACCTCATATTAGTGTATATATTAATACACTTGTCATCATACTTGTGTGAAGCAAGTATGATGCAGTTTCAATTTAAGTATGATAAAGACGCTAGTTAGGCTGACGTATGATGCTAGTATGATGTAGTATAATTTTGTATATATATTTCTCTCCTACTAGTATACTGATGATGAAACGTAAGTATGATTCCTGCATGGTGGTAGTATTATAAGTGTGAGATTAGTAAATATAAATAGAGACAGGCAGACAAAGACAGACAGAGAGACAGATACACAATTTAACATTTAACACAGGAGTAATAGAGAGAGGAGCGTCCTATGTTAACCTATGATGTTAATAAACCTCTACACCCTGCATGAGTTACACTAGATAATGCTGTCCTCTGTGTGTGTGTGTGTGTGTGTGTGTGTGTGTGTGCTAGGAGAGTTATACTGAACCTTACATAGTCAAGTTAGTATAAGTATAGAAGTATTCATTATTACTTCCAAGTTATACATATAAGTATACATATATGTGTATAAAGTCTTGAGTGAGGTAATACTTAACACGTCACCTTCATCAACGTTGAATAATACCTTCCTTAATGCGCTATGGACCATATATTACTGTATATCATTCACCCTACACGGTCACTCGCCATTCATCCTTTCTTGCCCACTACACACACACACACACACACACTCCTGGACATCCCTCGCTACTCCTTCACCTCCTATACATGACAGTAGGATCTTCCCATAACACATTTGTTCTTTCCCAGTAGGCCTTCCCGCCCCATTACCTCCCCGTTACACCTAGCTAAGTGTCCCCTTGTGCCCGTACCTGTCCCCCCTCCCCCGTGTTCTGTTTGTTGTGCCCAGGGTCTAGGCCGACGCCCTATACCTTGCCCATGACAGCATGCCCCCTTAAGGCATATTTTATGGCCTCCCAACCTTGTAGCGGTAGTCAAATTAATGTGCTCTTCACCCCCCGACCCTCAACAGACTCGTTCCTTGACGGCGGCATTTATCATCATGAGGGTCGTGTGGAGGCGAGAATCTGCTCCTGGCAAGATTACATGACATGGAGGTAAGACTGTAGTGCTGTGAGGCCATTCTCGCGGTTTGACACTCTCCTAGTTACCTCTGGCGCTCGGCTAATGATTTACACGGTGTGAGTCTCTCTGGTGCTCTAAGGAATATTGATGATATTGTTATTAGGGCGTCACCACACAAAGACCATAGTTAAGCTCAACCCATCAAACACTTTCTTGCGTATAATAAATTCTCGAAGACTTTTAGTGTCGGCAGAGTAAAGTTACCGGTGATTGTGTCAGCTTGATGAATATATATCGCAAGATCCATCAAAAGCTTTAGTTTAATCAAAGGAATTAAAAGTTTTATTCGAGTCGTACGTAACTCACACCAGAAGAAAGAATTTGTACCGATAACGCCGTAGTTATTTTGGGTGAAAATATACCAATGACATTTGCCCTATTTATCATACGCAAATTCCATTTAGATTACAAGTTATTCACCACTGTCGCGTATAAATCTATCAAATCTCGTGTTGTATAAATCCTCGGCCAACAAATGGGCTCACGGATTAACTTATCAAGCGTCGCGTCGTTTCATTTTTACGTGAAATCTGGACGGTAGGAGGCGAGGTGGCGCGACCAGGGTGAGAGCGGACGCCTTCACCCGACCCCTCATGCGAGCACCTTGACCCCGAGTGACGCTAGTGCTACACCAGGGCGTCAAGTGGGGTCAGTTGTGGCACTAAGGGTCAGTGGGTGCGAGCGAGGGCGACTTCCTGTCTCTCCGCTCCTCTCCGAGCGTCTCTCGCCACGGCAGGGGTCGCCGTCGACGCTTGCTGCTGCCATAGACGGATAAAAATATGCTGGGGAACTGCACTCTAGTCTCACATTATTAGTCCGTCAGCGATTATCACGAAACATCTCATTTTGTAAATCTGTGTATTATTGCATATTGCATTGATTATTGAAAATCGATGTTGTGGCGGTAAGATGGGACGATTTTACTGGGCGCTTGCGTACACCTTCAGGTGGGCGGGGATCTGAGCGACAGTGTGATGCGCCTTCCCGCCCACAAATCTGCGCTAAGTTACCTAACTACACGCCCACGACACACGCCCAGAAGGAGGGTGTGGCGTGGGGAGGCTCGGTTGGACCTACCTGGAGAGGAGTAGTGCGTGCGGAGGCTGGCCGGGCAGGATCGCCAGTGAGCCTTGTGTTGCAGCCTGCCCAGGGCACGTCTCGGGCACGTCTCTGCAACATCATTCATCACACTCCAGCCTCTACACCCCTTCACCGATCTTGCTCAAATCATGCACGAGGGTCGGTGGTAAGGCTGGCCACCTCCGGCAGAGAAAAAAATCAATATAGAAGCCGAAATGATACGATAAAGCAGACGTCGAGGGTAAAAATAATGTCGTCGTGCCTCCGCCAAGCTGGCCGGGGGAGGAGTTATGTATTCATGTCATAACCCCGCATCAGTGTGCCGGGGAGGAGGCTCTCCCTGCTCCTCCTCCTCCTCCTCCTCCTCCTCCTCCTCCTCCTCCTCCTCCTCCTCCTCCTCCTCCTCCTCCTCCCTCCTCCTCCTCTCTTCTTCTCCCCTGCCCTCCTTATCCTCCTACTCCTCCTCCTCCTCCTCTTTTTACTCTACTTCTTCCTCTTTCCATTTACCACCACCACTACTGTTATGTTCAACCCAGAAATGTTCGTTCGTGCAACCAACGCTGCATCCCCTCCTCCTCCTCCCTCCTCCTCCTCCTCCTCCTCCTCCTCCTCCCTCCTCCTCCTCCTCCTCCTCCTCCTCCCCATCCTCCTCCTCCTCCTCCTTTTTTACTTCACCTCTTCCTCTTTCTCTCCACCACCGTCATTGGTGTTATTGCCAGCCCACAGACAGTCAGTCATTCATACAACCAACATTCCATTTTGTTGTTGCCACTATAATCGTTGTTGCTTACATGTTGCTTTCGCTATCTCAGCTCTTACTACCACAACTACAACCATTCCCTACCACAATCCTCACTCAGTAATTCCTCTATTTCTAACCTTTTTTTTTCCCTCACCACAATCACAACTACTATTTTTCACTACCACCACCACCACTACTACTACCATGACTACCACAACCACCACTACTAGTATCCCCTTCCACCAGAACTAATCGGATTACCATGACCAATCCCACAAATGAAACAACCAACATTATCCAACCGTTTCTAATTTTACGACCTGCAAGCTATAGAAACACCTTTTACTACTACTACTACTACTACTACTAAACTATTCTCCCCATGATCTCCTCTACTATTATAAACAACGGTATAACACAACAACCACCATCGCTTGACTACAACTATCAATTATATCATCAACATTATCGCATCTACCACTATCATTTCCCTCCTAGTCAAATTTTATCATCACTGCCATCTTCCCATAACCACCATCATTACCATTACCAGAAACACAGTCAAATGAACCACTACTACCATTTTCAAGGTCCACGATTACCACATTACCACCAACTACTACTACCACTATTACCATTACCTTCCAAGTCATCCATCACTTATTACCATTAGTACCATTATTAACCAGGCGAGCCACTACCATTCACCACTTCCATTACCCTCCCTCAGTACCACTTACCACGTAACCTATAATGGTACTACTACTACTACTACTACTACTACTACTACTACCTGACAAAATACAACCAGAATAACACAACCATTACACACTGTAACCAACACCATCGTCATTACTCTCTAATCAACGGAGTTATGGTATTGATTGTTACCAGATCCAAGTGAAACTGATTCACAAATTATTTTAATCTTAAATTCAAGGGAATGGCCTAAACTTGAGCTGGTAACGATGTATATATTGTGTTATTGTTATTATTATTAGTAGTAGTAGTAGTATTACTTATTAATTGATTACCATGTCACCATCAGTTCACTATAGAATCTTCACTATCATATAATCATTCCTTAATAATGTCACTTTCACTGTAACAAGGCCTTAATTCACTGTCACATCACCATCCTGTTGTCATTTTCTGAATATTTTTGTCCTGGTTGTTCACTCATTTCACTATCACTCTACAAGCCTTTCACTATTATATTCATATCACTATAGACTGACCGTATTAGAATGTCACTATAAATGTCATCATAATTTCACTGTCGTTTCAAAGTTATGTCACTACAGGACACCGTCATCTTAAATCTGTTATATTTCACCACCACACCAATTTCATTCAGTACATCATAAGTAAACAACTATTGTGATGGTACTACTACTACTACTACTACTACTACTACTATCGAAGACATCTATACCATAACTATTCCTCATCACAACCACCATCACTATCACTACAACCACCATCACCACCAAACACACTATCACCACCAAATGCAACAACAACCACCACCATCACCACCACCAAATACACTATCACCACCATCATCACTACTACCAACACAAACCCCCTTTACCCTCCCTTCCCCTCCCTCCCTCCCTATCAATTGACCCCCTCCCCATCAACCACAACACCCCCCCTCCCCCCATCAACCACAACACCCCCCTAACCCCTCTACCTTGTCACACCACGTGGAGACCTACAAGACAAACCCGCATCAAGACAAAAAAAAACAGGAGACAACAGGGCATGTAGTGAAGATCTACCTGTTAATGATTATTTTCACCTGTTCCACCTCACTGACAACCTCCCGCATCTCTATATTTGTTGAAGAATTCGTGTATTTTCATCGTCAGTGCGAGTTGAGACCAGCTGTTGAGGGGGTAGAAGGGGGGGGGAGGGGAGAGAGGAGGGGAGAGAGGAGGGGGGGGAGAGGGGGAGAGAAGGGAAGCAACAAGACCTTATTGCAAAACATCAACGGGAGATCCTTTTGGCTTAACTCTTTCTTCTATGTGTTGTGGGTTCATTGCTACGTGTAATAAGGTCATTCTGTTACGTGTTTCTCTCTCTCTCTCTCTCTCTCTACCTTCATCATTAGCAGCCTCTTTTCATCCATACGTAATCCAACCCTTTCCATCACCCCTCTCCTACACCTCCTCTTCTTCCTCCTCTTCCTCCTCTTTTCCTCTTTCCCTTTTCTCCTTATTCTCTTCTTCCTCCTCCTCCTCCTCCTCCTTCTCCCTTCTTCTACATCTTCCTCCCCGTCTGTCCTATCTCCCATCTCTCCTCCTCCACACTGTCTCTCCCCCTCCCTCCTCACCCTTCCTTCCATCCCATAGACTGTCCCATAGCCTTCTCATCCTCTCCCTCACCTCCCTGTACTACCCTCTCCCCCCTCACCTCCCTATCACCCTCCCTCACCACCCCATCACCTCCCCGACCCATGCTTATTGAATATCAACTCCCCTACTCTTCTCTTCCTCTCTCTCCTCACCCCCCTCCATCTCCTTCCTCCCTCTTGCCTGGTGGGTTGAGTTGCCAGTTAACAAATGTAAACGCCTCTTTTTTATGTTTCACCATTGAATATTTTTTTTTTTAATGTTTCTTAGGATTTTCTCTTTTTTTTTGTTCATCTATTTTGTTCATGTTAGCCGTTGGTATTTGTTGTTGTTGTTGTTGTTGTTGTTGTTGTTATTGTTGTTGATATTTATCGTCATCGTCATCGTCATCATCATCGTCATCGTCATCAGCATAATTATCATCATCATCACTTGCATCGTCACTATCATCATTTTTGCTACATATATTCCAGTGTTTATTGATCATTTACCAATTCTCTTTCTTTGTGTACATTTCCATTCACAATACGAAGGAGTAAAAAATAGAGAAAATGAAAGAAAACAGAGAGAGAGAGAGAGAGAGAGAGCGAGGGGGGGATATAGAAAGAGTGAAAGAGAGACAGCGACAAAAGAAGAAACCAAAATAAACAGAGAAAAAAAACAGAAATAGAGAAAGAGGGAGAAATAAAGAAAAAGTGAGATAACAACACACTAGGAAACAGAATGAAAACGAGAGAAAGTGAAAAAAAAGAGTGAACAAGAGAAAGAAAATAAAAATACACCAAAATAGACAAAAAAAATGATAATGAAACAACAGAGAGAAAGGTAGTGAGAGAGAGAGAGAGAAAGAAAGAGAGCCAAACACGCCGGTAATGTAAATGTTAATATAAGGGGAAGGAAAGAAAGTGAAAGAAAGTGAAAGCCAGAGAGAATGTTGACCCAGTTCTTACACTTTCCTGCCTTCAGTTGACAAACATGTTGCCCTGGTTCTCTTGGCGCGAGAGAGAGAGAGAGAGAGAGAGAGAGAGAGTTTGAGATAAGGTTAAGAGAGAGAAAAAGAGACGATAGAGCAAGAGAAAGAGAGAGAGACAGAGATTATTATCATTAGTAGTAATAATTGTTATTATTACCAAGTACTTTTATCATAACAATCATTACTATTATCAAAGTATAATTATCATACTATTATTACTATCATTATCATTTTACTATTATTCATAAACTAACCTAACTTAACCTAACCCCACCTAACCTAACCTAACCCCACCTAACCTAACCTAACCTAACATAGCTGGTGCCCTCTATTCTTTTTTTACGTCCTTGGTTTACACAGCTCCTGGGAGAGAGAGAGAGAGAGAGAGAGAGAGAGAGAGAGAGAGTGAAGTATTTTTAATTTTGTTGAAAAGTTTATATATGGTGTAAGAATGTTTGTGTGTTTGTTTTATGATGGAATGAGTGAATTTGTTGTGTTTGTTTTAGCTGTGTATTTAATATTTTTTTGTAATGTATTTGCTGATGTTGGTATATTATAGGCAAGATATATGGTTGTTATGACATGTGTATAACGAAATTTGATCTAAAATTCGTGTTAAATTTACTTTTTTATGATTTATACAATTATTAATTTTGATTTTGTTTTTGATAATATCCATAAACAATAGCCAAAGAGGGAGAATTAAATAACGCAAATAATATACGAAAAAATATACTGTATCTGTATTTTTTATTATTATTATTATTACAAATAAAAGGATCTCAATATTCGCGAAACTGACATCATTTTAGCGAATGTTAAAATCCAATTTTTATCCTGTGGTTTATCATAATCATACCCCCACCCCCCACACCCCACACCCCACCCCCACCACCCCCCACCAAAAAAAAAAATATATATTTATCACCAATGGATAAATAATTCCCATACAAAGATGTTGACAATTACAAGGAGAAAAAAATACCATTAGATTACTATATATATTTTTTTTTTCAAGAGGAACAAAGGTGAGGTTACAATGATTCGCCAACACCCGATTTTCATCATAGTTTTACGGTGTTAGTATGGGCAGTTGCTGAGGGTAATACTGGATAGGTAAATACTAATTAATTTTCAGGTTAAAAAGAATAATATTA